GGTTTAATGACGAAGCTGTACAAAGCAGACACCCGATGGCTTATCTACCTTTCGGCGACGGACCAAGGAATTGTATTGGTAAATCAAAATAAATTTAGATATCGTATATTTTCCTTTTATTTCATGCTAAAAAATATTTTTAATCTGCGGAAACTCAAAGTCTATTTTATCTATCTGCGGAAACTTTGGTCTATTTTATATCATAATCGTTTTTTATTTTTAGGGGCTCGCTTCGCTGTTTATCAGACTAAAGTTGGACTTGTAAAGATACTACGAAATTACAAAATGGAGACTTGCGAGAAAACTCAAATACCTTACGTAAACAATCCTAAGGCATTTCTGTTAGCACCTGTTGGTGGACTATACTTGAAAATAGTTAAAATTAATCGAACTTAATTTAAGCTTTTTCACAAGAAGCACAATGAAAGAATGTAACGATAGGAGTTATTGTTCCAATTATTATAATCGTAATTAATTTTCTTGATGTTATTATGCATTAACATCTAATATCAGTTTATTTAAAATTGGATTATAATTTAATTTTAAATTTATGGTTACATACATATTTTAATAATACTATTCAATATTTTTTAATTTTTTTTTCAAGCGTTTAAGTAATGAAAGTTTCGATAAGTTTTTTCCATAGAATCCGGATCCGAAGAGAAAAGTGAATTAGCTCTAGGTAAAAAAAAAAAACAAAGTCAAATAAGCAAGAAAATATGACTATTTTTTGTTATTTTAAGTTTAAAAAGACAAATTTTCATTTCATTCCACTTAGAAGGTTTTAGCTCGTGTTATTTTTATATAGGTGTTCAAAAACGTTTTTTGCACTTTTGACATCGTTTTTTTTTTTTAAGCCAATTCACTACTTTTCTTTTCGGTTTCGGATTATACGGAAAAAAAATTCAAAATCAGTTTTGATTGCCGGATTTAAGTGCCAAAATCCGTGTTGAACAATATAATGTCTAATATTTTAAAATTGACTTTTTTATCATTCTCTTTTTTATCAAACATATTTTTTACATTACATATTATGAAAGTGTAAATGTATAAAATATTGGAAATTAAATAAAACATCTAATAAATATACAAATCTAGTACATCCACACAATTACATGTTCAAAATTTTTATAATTTTAACATCTTTTATCAATGAAAATACGTCTAAATAATATATAATACGTCTAATATAATTGAAATATATATAATATTTTTCTAATAAATCTCGGAAATAAGAAAACTATCACAAATAAAAGCTAGGATGCTAAAATGTTGTAAAATATTGCAAAATATTATTTTTTAATTTATTACAAGTATACTACTTTGTGCGCATGTATAAGTTCGTGATCAGCAACCCTCAAATACCTGTACTTAGCAAACTAAAATAAAGCGCTTCGTAGGAATTTTTTGCCCACACGATTCTCAACTATGTAAAAATAACAACGTAAACAGGAAGATTGTAACAGTTTTGTATGCAAGATAGCAGCGAGTGTTATCTAATTTTTTAAAATTTTAATTAGCTATTTGCCGCACGTATATTAGCATAAGATACAAAAGGCGATAGCATCGTAACATTCGGACAGTTCTTTTGTTAAAAATAAAGTGGTATTTTAACTATTTCTATCGGAAATAAAATTAGTTCTTAATGCGGGTATTAAAATATAGGATTTTATTGTGTACTAATATTTGAACGGTTTTTTCTCATTTTTCCAAAGTAAGTTACAAATCACTGATATAACATAAGTTACAAAAACTGTTTTCATTATTTTGTTTTATTTATTATCTCGTGATAATTCTAATTGTTTAAGACTTAGGCGTATTTTTTTTATACATTGAAAATATTTAATGTAACATTCAGTTAATGTAGTCAACAGTTAATGTAATATTTCATTGAAAATACATTTTATTTTTATCGAGTTTTTAATTTATTAAAACGGAAATTTAATTAATAAGACATTGTTTTCAGAAAATAATGGAAATTTTTGAAATATTGTGCGGCATCATCGCCGTAATTCTCGCTCTTTATTATTTCTTCACGTCGACCTTCGATTTTTGGAAATCACGTGGAGTTCCTGGGCCACGACCTATACCAGTGTTCGGTACTTTCAAAGACGTTCTGCTTAAAAAAATATCCTTAGGTGATTACGTGACAAAAGTATACAACGAATACAAAGACGAACCATTCATCGGGATATTTTTTATGAGGACACCCATTCTTATCGTAAAAGATTTAGAGATAATGAAGGATATCTTTATTAAAGATTTTTCCACGTTTGCCGACAGAGGGTTCACCACCCACGAGAAGGTGCGAACTGTTATGCTATTGCATTCGAAATCTAAATGATATACGCACTTTTTGCGAAAATTTTATGAAATTCTGTGACCTTTATAAATTTTGAATATGGAGAAACTCATTAAAAATCGTAAGAGTTGTTCCGAGAAGTTTCAAGCAAGTTTCAAATTGGTAGAAGTTGACTTTTTGAGCTAAATTTAATCGATTTACATTTCTGTCACATCGCAGGCTGAGCCGCTGTCGCAAAATCTCTTCAATTTGGAGCCGGAGAGATGGCGACCCTTACGGCCGAAACTGACGCCATTTTTTACATCCCGTAAAATGAAGGAGATGTTCTTGTTAATATCAGAGTGTTCTGACCATCTTATAGATCATGTAGACAAATTAGTGAGAAGGAACGTCACGAACGAGCCTATAGAGTGTCTCGAGCTAACGGCCAAATATACGACCGACTGTATCGGTAGCTGCACCTTCGGCATCGAGATGAACACTCTGTCGAACGAGGAGAGCGAATTTCGCAGGATAGGAAGAGACGTATTCCATCAACCCTGGACAGATCTTCTACGAGCGAGGATCAAAAATTTTTCACCACTCTTGTACGATATTCTCGGTTACATCCTGCCGGATACGGAGATCACCAAGTTTTTCATAAGTCTCGTCACGGATAGTATGAAATACAGAGATAAAAATAACATTGTTAGGCATGATTTCATTGACATGCTACGCGAATTAAAAAAAAATTCAAGCAAAATGAACAATATTGGTAAATATTAATTTAATTAAAAAAATAGTCTCCCATAATTTTTATTTAATTTGAAATTATCTGCGTTATTATTTTGCTGTCTATTATACGAAAATTTTCTATACGTGGAGAATTACTTGTTTATGTCATAAACTCGTATAATTCTATGATATAACTTAAAAATATAATTACATTTAACAATCTATATTCTATAATTATATTTGATTTTCTATAACAGTAAAGTGAAGTATACGTTAAATTTTGCGTTACCAGCGACGATCAATTGGTTGTATATTAATTTATTAAGTTAAGTTAGTTGAATTAGTTACACTTTTTATATTTGGTAGAAAATGAAGTTATTTAATTATAATACACTAAATGAGATAATTCGCATTTCAGAATTTACCGACAGTTTTATAGCTTCACAAGCATTCATATTTTTTGCCGCTGGTTATGAAACTTCGTCGACGGCAATGACCAACACGCTTTACGAGTTAGCTTTACACCAGAAAGTGCAAGACAGGTTACGTAAAGAAATTAACGAGGAATATACAAAATATGGTGGCAGTTTAACATATGAAAACGTTCAGAAAATGAATTACTTAGATAAAGTATTCAAAGGTACGTCGATTGAAAAAAAATTGAAATATGAAAAGGGTAATCAAGAAACATTTTGCAATGATATATGATGATATCATAATATAATTAATCTCATAATTAATAGAACTATAACTATATATATACATTTATATATACTGCATTTATAACTGCATTATTTTGAACGCAGAGGTCTTACGAAAATATCCAGCTGGATTTTTCTTCACAAGAAAAACGACATCGAGTTATACTTTCAATGGTACCAAAGTTAGCATACCGAAAGGCCAAAGGATATGGATTCCTATATACGCTATTTATCGAGATCCCGATATTTATCCAAAACCGAATGATTTCGATCCGGAAAGATTTAATGAGGAAGCTGTGCGAAGCAGGCATCCGATGGTTTATCTACCCTTCGGTGACGGACCAAGAAATTGCATTGGTATAATGAAATAAATTTTAATATCACCTCTCCTTTGTCTTCGCACCATTTTCAACTGGAGAATATTTTTAATCGTAATCTGATTTATATATGATGACCGATTTTTATTTTTAGGTGCTCGCTTTGGCATTTATCAGACTAAACTTGGTATTATAAAGATATTACAAAACTACAAAATCGAATGTTGTGAGAAAACGCAAATACCTTATGTGATCGATGAAAACATTTTTGTACTATCGCCAAAAAATGGGATATACTTAAGAATAATTAAAGTTAATCAAACTTAATTTAAACTCTTTCAAACTCTTTTAAAAACATGCATAAAAATAGTGAAGAAAATCTCTGTCAATATATTATAATAAATAAAAATCACTATTCCTTTATAATTGTAATAAAGATATTAATTTTAGTATATTGTCGTACTATAATATCTCATCAATTATATTAGTCATATGTATGCAAGACGTTTTATCAATTATTATCTAATTTTTTTAATGATCTATTTTCTATACATTAATATTTGTTATTTACTATTTAATTTACTATTTAATCCTTACATTAATTATAATTGATATTTATATAAAATAATATTGTCGCGTGATTATATAATTATTTTCATTCAAATTTATTTTAATTTTAAGAAACATTGGACTAGAGTATATTAAAATCTTTCAATTTATGTTTCGCGAATAATTAAATTTCAAAAGTTTTGTTGATAATTATATTTAATAAATGTGACTTAAATTATTTTATTTAACGTATTTAACAGTAAAATTTCAGTGTAAAGATATTTTGCATTCTTTGTGTTCTCTTAAACATCTGATAAAAGACTCTGCATTTCTATTAAAATGCTAGACGAAATATTTTAATTGCAAAATTGTACTGCTTTCTATTTTGTCTCTTTTTCCTTTCTTTCACTTCAGTGAAATTTGTTCATCATAAAGTTCCATATTATCATTCAGATGTAGTTATTTTTTGAGAGAAGCTAATATAATTAATCTGAATTATTTACTAAATAAATGGTTCTAATGTATGTATGTTCTAATGTATGTTCTAATTTATTCGATATTCATCTTATAATCAAGATAATTTAAAATGGGATTTGAGGCTAAAAAAGCGATTGCTTACCGCCGATGTTTGTACATTAATATTCGTTAATAACAAGATTTTATCTAATCGACTGAGACTTTATTAGATCGCTACTTACAGAATCTAACTCGATCAATGTGATAAGACGGACGGCAATGAATATCGAAGACTTAATATTTTCATAACTCATCATATTCACTTGCGGCTCCTCCGCCTATAACTTGGACAGCAAGTTAATATTAACTCCAGTCGCATCCTAGTATAAGCTAGTATAAGCCAGTATACTTACGAGCTGATATGAGCTGATACGAACTGATATGTTGCATTGTTGCGAACGCAGTTTGCATGCAAGATCGTGTTGTGCATTCAAATAAGACACGTTCACTGCTTATTTCAATATCGAATTGACACTTTCGGTAAGAAAAAAAAACGAATAAATTCTGTAATTTTATTCTCGTCATGTGTGTTGAAAGAAGTCGCTTCCTTACGTCCGTTCATTATCATCAAACGAAAAAAACCGAAAAGCCCGACTGACGCATGGAAAAGTAGGGAGGAATTAATCTCGCCATTTTCCGGCGTAGATTTTTCTCCTCTTTGAAATGTCGTTATGTGATGAATAAAACAATAGCCTTAGGGTCATTTCAAAACTGTCAATCGTAGTCACACTTTTATTGGCGACGTGAAAAATATTAACAATTCCTGCCGCATGTATAAAATCGCGTCGCGGCCGCCCGTGCCGCTTAATATGCTGTACGCTCGCTCAGTTCGTATTAAGTGGCAATTGCGTACAGTAATTAGTTCGATATAGAAAGAAAACAGCCGGTTTAAAGAATCCGCGATTCCTACGAATTCGCGTTCGCGCATATTCGCATTTCGTGCATTTTCACGCGTCGTCCGTTTTCATCCGTGTCGAGTGATAAATTCCTGAAAATTACGTTTTCAACATACTGGAAATATCGTTAATTGTATTTTGTAATAGACTAAATTTATTGTATATTACAAATATATCAGTATTTTACAAATTTACTTCTACCCTCTTTTGTCGATCGTGTTTCGCTCACGGTTTCGCAACGCTCTCGAATAATTATGCACGAGTGAAATGTCACGAGATCTTATCTAATCTAAGAGAAACTATTATTGCTACTTGCAGTGTGACGTCCTCGAGTGACAAATGCGGATGAATGCCAAAGATATTATCATATTCCACAAATTATCATATTTGCCCGCGTCTTCTCCGCCTATAATTCTCCACAAACTGAACGGCGAACAATTAATATTAAATTTCAGTTACATTGTAGTATCATTAGTACAAGCGCACTCACGAACTGATACGTGGACGCGCAGTTCATATTCAATACCGTATTACGCATTCAAGAACGTTCCGTTCATTACTTATTCCACAATATTGAATAGGTATTTTCGCAAAGAATAAAAAGAACAAATTTTTGTAATTTCATTCTCGCCATGTGTGTTAAGAGAACATTACACGTCCATTCACTATCGTACAGACGAAGAGACTGTAAAGCCCAGTGGAATCGTTTCGTATGAAAAAATAGAGAGAAACTGGTCTCTCCGTAAATTTTCCGGCGCGACTTTTTTTTCTCTCTGAAACGTTATTGTGTGACGAATAAAATAATATCAACGTCGAGTGGTGTACGGTATTATATTCATTTTCTCAAATGTTATATCGTGTTTTACAAATCATTGTAATCAATCGGCGAGCTTTCTAACAGCGAGTTTTTCAATTTCTAGCGATTTAATAGTTTTACTGCTATAGATACACCGTCCGGGGTCAAGAACGTTGTCTCATGGCTTTGTTAAGATGAAAAAATAATTTCTTGCTGTTTCATCTATTACAACATCGCGGGAGATATCAAAATCACTCCGCCTTGATTAACATTAAGCGAAACTTCTCGATTTAAATAACAATTTGAACTGAGACTGCATAATCAGCACGTAACAAAGATCATAGGATCATCGTGTTAATTTTTATTACAAAATCTTATTTGTTTACTGGCAATAAATTCTACAAATTCTACGTCTTAGAATTCAACATCTTTTAAGATGATTTTCATATCACGATGTAATATGTATTATATTTAAACGCGTTCTATTATGTAATAATTAATCACATTACTTCATTTTTTTTAGTAATTTATGAGCTTTGATGATACAACGTTTTGCGTATATATATATATATATATATATGTACGTATTTGTTGAGACTTTTTCGAACAAACATTTGCAATTATACGATCGGCATTTCACCTTTTTTTCGCGTACATTATTTAATCTTCATTCATAAATAATAGGACTGATATAACATTTAGTGACGTGTTTTTTTTAATCAATATTATTATTTCATATTATTTAAAAAATAATATTCATGCCATAATATTACAATGTTATAAAAGATGATTTTGCAATCATTTTCCAGTTTTGAAACACTTTGATCTCGATACAATTTCATCAAGTTTTATAGCTTAAACATGTATTTTATGCAAAAATACATGTATTTTATGCAAAAATACATGTTTTTGTTTGAATCGAATAGCTTATCCTTTCTCAATGTTTATATAACAGAATATTTTCTCTTTTTTTTCAGTAAAATTAATCGTGATCAGCAATTTTTAAATAATGGGACTCTTCGAAATTCTATGCGGAATTACCGCATTAATTTTTGCTGTTTATTATTTTTTCACGTCGACATATGACTTTTGGACGTCACGTGGTGTTCGTGGTCCACGGCCTATACCGGGATTTGGTAATTTACGCGATGTTATATTAACAAACATATCCGCGGGTAATTATGTGACGGACTTGTATAACAACTACAAAGATGAACCATTGATTGGACTATTCGCCAGGAGGACACCCATTCTTGTTGTAAAAGATCTAGATTTAATTAAGGATGTTCTTATCAAAGATTTCTCTAAGTTCGCAGACAGAGGACTTTCTACCTACGAAAGGGTGAGATTTTCTGAATGATGATACTTGAAGCAAATTGTGAGATTTGCTTCGAGAAGTCTCAAAAAGTATTTTTGTAATTCAGTAAAATTTAATTGTAAGCTAAATTTATGATTACAATTTTTTTATTTATTAATAATGAGCATAGTAATTTATTAATTCGTTTACGAACTGACTCACTTGACTACAATTTTATTTTTGTCACATTGCAGGCTGAGCCGTTGTCGCTACATCTTTTCTCATTGGAATCAAAGAGATGGCGACCGTTGAGAATGAGGCTGTCGCCTGTTTTTACATCCGGTAAATTAAGAGAGATGTTATCCTTAATATCAGAATGTGCCGACCACCTTGTCCAATATATGGAAAAAGTAGTGAGCAAAGACGATCTCATAGAATGTCGCGAGCTAACGGCCAAATATACGACTGATGTTATCGGTAGTTGCGCTTTTGGCATCGATATGAATGCACTGTCGAACGAGGACAGCGAATTTCGCAAGATAGGAAGGAAGATATTCAATCCGTCCTGGACACATATGTTACGAATAAGAATCAGGGAAGTTTTTCCATGGTTTTATAATATGCTCGGTTATATCTTACCGCAAACAGAATTTACCAAATTTTTCGTACGCGTTATCACGGAAAATATAGACTACAGAGAAGCGAATAATATTACTAGAAATGACTTCGTTGATACGTTACGCGAATTAAAGAAGCATCCAGATAAATTGGGTAATATTGGTACGTATGAATTATTTTTACGTGTATTGTTTTTGCTGTTATAGAAAAACTTCTCAAATAAATAAAAACCATACAATTTTTGCTTGAAATGACTTTATAAATCACAATATAAATAACTTTTGTTTTTTATGAATTATTATAGCTATATATTGACAAGAATATTTTAATCATAATCAATTTATTATACATGAAGTGTTTAATAAATAAAATAGTTCAAATTTGTATAGATAAAAATTTAAAATAGTAATTATTATATAATGAGAAAATATAATATTTTAGAGTTAACAGACAGTTTGCTAGCTTCCCAAGCGTTTGTATTTTACATTGCTGGCTTTGAAACTTCGTCGACGACTATTAGCCATGCGCTCTATGAGTTAGCGTTAAATCAGAATATACAGGACAAGTTACGTGAAGAAATTGATGAAGCCTATGCAAGACATGGCGGAGATTTGATACACGACAATATAAAACAAATGATTTATTTAGACAAAGTTTTCAAAGGTACGTCATTCAGAGAGAAAGTTAAAGAAAGAGACGAATAAAAACAGATATGCCGTTATTTTTGTTTTCAGCGAAAGTTATATATTATATAACATATCCTCATTGTTAATAAGCTTCAACCTAATTGTAATTTTTTTCATGTATATAAATGCACTTCCATAATTCAATATCTTAATGCATACAGAAACATTACGAAAATATCCGCCAGGAATATTTCTTATGAGACAATCGACATCGAGCTATACTTTCAATGGTACCAGAGTTAGTATACCGGAAAAGCAAAGAATATGGATTCCTGTTTATGCTATTCATCAAGATCCGAATATTTATCCGAAACCAGATGTCTTCGACCCGGAAAGATTTAATGACGAAGCTGTGCAAAGCAGACACCCGATGTGTTACCTACCCTTCGGTGACGGGCCAAGGAATTGTATCGGTACAGTGAAATAAATTTAAATGTCAAGTTTTATTTCTCTTCACAATAAAAAATATTTTTACTCAAAATTATTTTAAATTAAAGCTAAGAATATTTTTAATCGAAAATCTTGATGTATAATTTATATAATTGCTATTTTATTTTCAGGTGCTCGCTTCGCTATTTATCAGAGTAAAGTGGGACTTGTAAAGATGCTACGAAACTACAAAGTCGAGACTTGCGAGAAAACTCTAATACCCTACATATCTAATCCTAGGGCGTTCGTATTATCTCCTAAAGGCGGAATATACTTGAAAATGATTAAAATTAATCAAGCTTAATTAAAAAATTTTTAACTCTGCTATATGAAAAAAAGATGCATAAAAATGGTGAAGAAAATCCTGTAGTAGTATAATAATTAGAATTACTAGTCCAACTATCTCATACAGCACAGAGCTAACAATATTGCAGTGCTGAAATAATGACATTGACTTTTGTGCTGTAAGGGATGGTACTTATTAATTTTACTGGTATGATATAGTAACTTCTCGTAGTGACGTCAATCAAGTAGTAATTATATTAATTACGTTGTTCTACTTAAAAACTTTCATGTATTACAATAGTTCATTGTGAATTAATCAGAAATGGCATTTCTTTTGTTAATTATAAGATATTAAGATTAACATTGTCCTCTTGTATAATTTTAATTTGATATTAAATTTATTTTTTCACTCGATTATTATAAAACTTTTATATATTGTAATTTTCTACCTTATTTACTTTTTCTGCGTATATTATTTAATTTTTTACACGTTTCTTGTACTTTTTTACACAAATATAGAAACGTATCGATTTAAGAACATTTGGAGTATAATAGTTTTGTATGCAAAGAGTTATCTAGGCTCTTTAAATTTTAATGAGCTATTTTTTATACATACGTATATTAGCATAGGATATCGAAGGCGATAAGGTAGTGTGTTTTGAATGGTCATATTTATTTCAACTATTTATGGCTGTACTGTCTCATTATCCTTACATTAATTATTTATGTGATTATATAATTACACGGTCATTTTCTTTCGGAATTTTTTTCGAGACATTGAATATCAAGGTCTTTCAGTTATTACAGAGAAACAAATAATATCATCAGGAATGACTTCGTTGATGTGTCAGACAAGTAAAATTGTTTCTTAATTAAATTTTGTGTTTTTTTTTATCTGCGTTTATACACCTTTTTTATATTATTTGTTTCGTCATTTATTTTTTTTAATTCTTTTTGCAAGAGTATAAAAACTCGAATCATCTATTCGGCAACATATTAAGTTTTTTTATGCGAGACTAAGTGTTGCAAACCGCGCAGGAATTCGTATTTTTTGAAAATATTGCCATGTGAAAAACAGGAAGCTCGCCTCGCATTCTTTGTTTGCACAAATAGGTAGAACCGTCGCTGGCAGCTACTCTATAAAAGGGGGGCCGCGCTGAAATGACCGCTCACTCTTCAGTAAAAATTCAAAGACAAAAGGATCGCGTAATATATTTCAGTCGCTCTATAAGTTGCAAGACACGCGCGAAAATCTTGTAAATTTCTTGTTAAACTATTAAGACTTATATTACTTGTGTACGTAAAATAAAATTGAGTTTAACTCCACCTTGCTGTAAATATATTTCTTGAACAAAAAAAAAAGTATAAAGGGGCAACAGCCGTCTGTTAAACCATCAAAACTCCCAAGGCAACGCGCGCTCGTGAACACTAAGTGTAAGTTTTTTATGCGGTACCGAGTGTTATCTAAGTTTTTAAAATTTTAATTAGCTATTTACTGCACGCATATTAGCATAGAATACACAAGATAGCATAATACATTTCTTTCGTTGCTAAAGTAGGAATGATATTTATAAATGTGATCTCATATACGAGAGTTATTCGCTTCTCGATGTGGTTGTGAATATAAAACAATTTTGAATTGTATACTACTGTGCATTAATATTTGGACTATTCTTTCCTTACTGCACAAGCTATAAATTTTTGAAGCTCTAAAAATATTGCAAAATTATAAGAAATAAAATTCAGACAAATGTAAATCTTTTTCTTATTTCGTTTCCTCTATTATTTAATGACAACATTATAGCTACATCATTCGAACCTTATGTATTTTATTACGTGAAATTTGAAATATTTGACGTAACATTATTACATCTCACTGGAGATATATTTCGTTTGAATTTTATCGAATTTAATAAGTTTTCAAGACGGAAATATATTTAATACTGTTTCTTTTCTTTTCTTTCAGTAAAGATTGTTCATGATAATCGATCGACAATCGCAGAACAATGGAACCCTTTCAAATACTATGCAGCGTCGCCGCCGTAATTCTCGCTCTTTATTACTACCTCACGTCAAACTTTGATTACTGGAAGTCACGTGGCGTACCTGGTCCACGACCGATACCGGGATTTGGCAATTTAAAAGATTTTCTACTTCGAAAAGAAACTTTGGGTGATTATGTGTTGAAACTGTACACAGACTACAAAGACAAACCATTGATTGGGATATTCACTTGGAGGACACCCATTCTTATCGTAAAAGATCCAGAACTAATTAAGAATATATTTATCAAAGATTTCCCAACGTTCGCCGACAGGGGAATCACCACTCACGAGAAGGTGCGAACACTTCAAGCTGTTGCCTTCAAAGTCTAAACAAGATTTTACGCGTTTTTGCGCAAAGAGTTATGCAATATATCCTTATATTTTTCGAATGAAGAAACTGATTGAAAATTAATTTGGATGTGCTTCTCAAATAAGTTTCTGTAACTTATAATTAAAAGAATTTGATATTGATAATTTTATTCGATTTATTATTTTATTTTCATCATTTCACAGGCCGAGCCGCTGTCGCAGAATCTCTTCAATTTAAATCCGCAGAGATGGCGACCGTTAAGGGCCAAGATGTCGCCTATTTTTACATCACGTAAACTGAAGGAGATGTTCTCGTTAATATCAGATTGTGCCGATCACCTTGTGCATCATACAGAAGAATTAGCGAACAAGAATGAACCTATAGAGTGTTGTGAGCTGATGGCCAAATACACTACCGACGTTATCGGTAGCTGCGCCTTCGGCCTCGAGATAAACGCCCTGTCGCTCAAGGATAACGAATTTCGCAGAATAGGAAGAAACGTATTCCATCCGCCCTGGTCGGATCTCATACGAGATAAAATCAAGAAATTCTCACCGTGGTTTTACGACGTCCTTGGTTACATCTTACCGGATACGGAGATCACCTCGTTCTTCATGCGTCTCGTCATTGACAGCATGGAGTACAGGGATAAGAACAATATTGTCAGGCATGATTTCATCGATATACTACGCGACTTTAAAAAACGTTCGGATAAGATGAGCGATATCGGTAAATACTGTCTGCCTTCATTATTATTTTGCCGCGAAGATAGATCTTTTTAGACGGAAAACTATATGAGTTCGCGTTTCCAAAGTGTAATTCTATCACAATAAAATAAAATGCGTTAAATTTTATATTATAAAACAGCAATTAAACTCATATAATTTTATAATGTAACTTTAAAGTATAATTCTATAATATTCTATAATTCTATAAAGAGTAAAACGTTAAATTTTGTATTAACATTACCAATTGGTCGTACATCATTATTAATAACTTTGTCATCAATCACAAGTAACTAAATTTTATCATTAATTGTTAGTCACAATTAATGATAGAAAATTAAGTTTAGTAGCATGGGTAGTACGCAAAAGAGAATTCGCATTTCAGATTTCACCGATAGTTTAATAGCTTCTCAAGCATTCCTATTTTTCTCCGCTGGTTTTGAAACCTCATCGTCAGTGATGTCCAATTTAGTTTACGAGTTGGCTTTGAATCAGGAAGTACAAAACAAACTACGGGAAGAAATTAACGAGGAATACACGAAACGTGATGGTAATTTAACGTATGACAACATCAAGGAAATGGATTATTTGAATAAGGTTTTCAAAGGTACGTTGCTCGAAGACAAAAGTCAAATCAAATGAAAATATGAGATACCTATTAATTACATCATCTTATCGTTGTTAAAACTAACGAGTAATTCTTTGACACGTATAAATGCATTTTCAAAATTTGTCATGATTTTTAATGTAGAAACTTTACGAAAGTACCCTCCTATGATGTTTTATACGAGAAAAACGACATCGAATTACACTTTCGACAGTGTCAAAGCTAACATACCGAAAGGCCAATATATATGGATTCCTGTTTTCGCGCTTCAACATGATCCGAACATTTATCCAGAGCCAGATATCTTCGATCCAGAAAGATTTAATGAGAAGGCTGTGCAAAATAGGCACCCGATGTATTTTCTACCTTTCGGTGATGGACCAAGGAATTGCATTGGTACAGCGAAATAAATTTAAGTATCATTTTTTTTATCTCGATCCGACTTATGTAATGGCAATTTTCTTTTATTTTCAGCTTCTCGTTTTGCTATTTATGAGGTTACTCTTGGGATTTTAAAGTTACTACGACATTACAAATTCGAACCTTGCGAGAAAACAGAAATACCCTACATCCGTAATGAGGAAACGTTTGTAACTACATCAAAAAATGGAATATACTTGAAAATAATCAAAATCAATCAAAAAAATAGTGAAGATCAAATTGTATAACAGGAACCACCGTTCCGACTGCAATACAATATTTATTAATTTTATTGATATCGTTGTATTATAATATCTCATTGCGACACTAGTCAGAGTCAATAATTAGATCGTTTAAATTTAATTAATTATATATGCTCTTACATGCGTAAATTAATATAATCGCTTTTAAACTCATTTTCTGTATTATTTTTAGTAAGCGCTCTATTATATATTCAAAATGACACATGAAAAGTAAATGCAAGAATTTGCGCTTATCAAATACATTTGCAAGCATTTGTGATAAAATATTTGTTATATTCAAAAACTTTCATGAAACAGCTTATAAATTATATATTTTAAAAAACAGGCATTTAATAAACATTATATTATTTCACTTCATTGTTATAAAGATTTTTGTTATCTTTATTATGTTTTCTGTTTTCTTTCTGCATTCGCTTTTGTCTTTTTTTACAGAAATATAAAAATGTATCGACTCAACAATATTGAGCATAATAATTTTGAAAGATATGTCAAGTGTTATCTAAACTTTTTTTAAATTTAAACGAACTATTTCCTATATGTACATTAGCATAGAATATAAAAAATGATAAAATACCTGGTATATTTTGGACGGCTTTTTATATATACATACGTATACTATCTATAGTTTTCGTTATTTATTAAATTTTTCTTAAAATTCTTACCTTAATTGTATTTAGATCCTGTAATGTTATCGCATAATTACGTAATCATTCTCTCTTGAATTTTCCGAGACATCGGACTCAAGCATATTGAGGTCTCTCGAGTGAATTGAGGTCTCTTGAAGTAACATTGGAACATAGGAATTATCTGTGAGAGTAGTTTCTTGCGTGCATACTATATTTTGTGATCTTGTTTCAAAATGGTTGGAAATTTCTGGATAAGAATATTGTTCTGCGTCCATCCTGTTTTAAGAAAAATTGAGTCTTTTCATTTTAATTGCTCTAATTTTATATTTAACGCCTTTTGCAGGAGGCGATTTAAAACTAAACGAAATATTACTAACCTATCTTCCTCTGTGTATTCCGATCTCTCCTTCTGTCGTGGTGGTAGTGCCGGAGGTTCCATTTGCAAATTGCACGAAAGTCCAGTTGTATCCTTACACTCATTGGAAGTGAACGACTTGGGAGAACAAATGTCGTCTCTAATTTCTTCATAAATTCCCGAGGCGATAGAAACATTCGATTCTCTATGATTGTAGGAATCAAGTTTTTCGCTGTACATCGGATTAGGTTCCAATTGATATAGATTCTCTACGGCTTTACTGCCGATCGATGTCCTTAAACTGATTATCATAAATTTTTCAGATAAAAAATTATGCGCAATTATGTTAATACTGTTACTCTTAATTTTCTATATACAAGTATACGTACCAATTGGCGTCTCTATTAAGGACACAAAGCGGTGGATTACTTTTTAACTGCGAAGGAAGACTGCTGATTCTATTGCGTCCCACCGTTTCGAGATTCTCGCCGTCAGAATATGAAGATCTTCGTCGTTTCGGACCACGACCCTGTGTTACCAAATCCTGCAGCAACTTACTAGCCTCAAGACAGAATACGTAGAGTTCTCCGATGCCACAGCAAAATTCCTTGCCAGTATGTATCACACAAATACGCTTCACGTCTTCCGGACGGCCTGCTGTCATTAAGTGGAACTGAGTGAATTCTGTCCACTTGAAAGTCTTGACTATCTCCCCTGTGTTGACGTCTCTAATGAAAATCCCCGTCTTGTTGGCGATTAGATCTCCGTATAAACCTATCAAAAAAATGAAAATTGATATTCAACATTGATATTCACAAACAAAACAGGATATCTGCTAGATATATTCTGTAATCCTTTCTCTAACAACAGTCATCGTTATATTGTTGTATTTTTTTACCATATATTATACGTGAGCAATGAGCATGTAACAATAATGGCAGTGTTCTAATTCTTAGAACTAGGCAAAGATAAAGAGTAAGTTGAACCGAAATTAAAGCTAATCTACATTGGTGAAAACTGCTCACTAAATGGAAATGGATTGAAATTTCAAATCATGGATTAAAATGATTTGAAATTGATTGGCCTTCGTAGAAATAAATGCATTTCTATAAAGGCCAATTCATTTCAATTCATGGTTTAGAAAATTTCAATCCATTTCAATAAAAAAAAAATATTTTAATCCATTTCCTGGCGTAAAAATTACAGAATCTCTCTAGCTACCGAGCGCAGTTACACCGACCGGTTAAGTCTGCCGCCTTCGAATGCTCGTTGTCGACTATGGATACGTCGTACGATCTCTCGACGCAGGAGTGCCTTCTGGGCTTCAACAAGTGCCTGATATTCGCCATCCAACGCTGCGTCTCGGTCTCCGAGTTGGCGGACAATGACAGCAGAGGCTTCCTGTCGACCGCTGGCGATACGCTGAACGCGAATTGCTTCGTTCTGGAGCTAATGCGATGTACGACAGCACCCGGTGGTATCACCACCGAGCCATGCTTCTCGTTCTGCTTCGAAGCGTTGTTGTCATGACCGCAGCCGAGCTTCTGATCGAATTGCACTTGCAAGCCGAGACCGGGTCCCAGCTGTCTCATCGAGCACCACGATCGTTTCCACACTCTCGAGAGGGACAGGCCCTTCTTTCTCACCCTCTGCGCGACGTACCTTCTTCCCGTCGATTTGACGTCGAGAAATCCACAAATCTCCGTGTCGCACGTACTCATTCTCTTTAAACGAGCACGTCAAATTGACGCAGGGCACACATGTATTGTGGAGAAAAGTTGTTCTTATGACTTGTTGAGAAAATTGTGAGAAGAGTCTTGCAATGTTTTTAGCAAATCTCGGTGTGTAAAACGTGAATATTGTGATAAAGTTAAACACCGATTACAATCTAATTCACAATGTAAAAAGAAACGTTGAAGTATACAGAAGAGCGTATATTTACAACTCCGCCGGCCGTCATGGCCGTCATAACCACATAACCGCTGTTTACCGCTCGTAAGTCATGACAGAGAGAAGCGTGAGAGCGGCCACGCCGACCTTTTGCGTGGGACCGGCGATCTCCCCCGGACACTAGCGCTCCATGTTTTCAAAAAAAGAACTAAGAGAGAAGCATGCTTCTCTCTGGTGTCGGTGTGTTGGTAATATTCGTTGACATAGCTACGTAGTTAACGTTCGTACACATAGAGGCGTTATATCGTCGTATATGTATATCTATCGTTTCGAGTAGTCGAGTGAATCCAGACATAATTCTTATGTTTTCAGGGAAGTGTGGAAAACATTTACTCCGCGTGAAAGAAAATGCTGCGAATTATCCGAAATATAGCGTGACAAGAGTTGTCGCATGATTGATTTATCTTGCATAATATAGCACGTATAAAAATGCGTAACGCCGTGTTGAATTTATTGTGCACCGAAATCATCCGTACCGTCCGCAATGCAAGACTTTTCAAACTGCAAAGGTTACACAAATTATTCAATAATCTTAATTTTAAAATAAAAAAGCTTATGAAACGTTGAATTAACTATACTTTTTTTTCCAGAAGGTGGACGTATTTGTCAAGCGGGCGTTTCTCCACGCAATCCGACGTGGAGTACGACGTGCCAGTCGAAGATATTCGCAATTTTAGCATAGTCGCGCACGTTGATCACGGTAAAAGTACGTTAGCGGACAGACTGTTGGAATTAACAGGTGCCATAAAGATAAATTCTGGCAAGCAGGTCCTGGATAATCTTCAGGTGGAGAAAGAACGCGGGATCACTGTGAAAGCGCAAACGGCCTCGCTGTTTTATACGTATCGCGGCAAGAGGTACCTCCTGAATCTTATCGACACGCCCGGTCACGTTGATTTTTCGGCCGAGGTTCATCGGTCGTTGGCGCCTTGTCAGGGTGTCGTACTGCTGGTCGACGCTAACGACGGCGTGCAGGCGCAGACAGTGGCCAATTATTATCTGGCGCGAGAGAAGGATCTCGTGATAATACCGGTAATTAATAAGGTGGACTTGAAGAATGCTAATCCCGAGAAGGTCAAGGAGCAGTTGCAAACGCTACTCGATGTGGAACATGTGGACGTTATCAAGATATCCGCCAAGCTGGGCACTGGTATCGAGAAAGTTCTGGATGCCATTGTTGAAAGAATTCCACCGCCCACGGTGGCTAGAGACAAGCCCTTCCGAGCGCTGATTTTCGACAGCTGGTACGACAAGCATAAAGGGACGATTTCTTTGATTTATGTGAAAGATGGGTCGCTGTCGGTCGGCAAACAAATTAGTTCGGCATATATGAAAAAGTCGTACGAAATTCGAAGTATCTTCCTTCTTAGACCCCATACAGAAAATGTAAAGACAATGTGAGTGGGTATGACTCTTGTTTTATTGAAACAATTATATATTTTATAATTTTTTTATTTGCGTGCTGTTTAATGTAATCCTAGATTTGCTGGACAAGTAGGCGCTATTTCGTGCAACATGAAGTCTAAGGAGGCCCACATTGGTGATACTTTACATCTGCGGCATCAGCCTGTTGATTCCTTAGAAGGATTCAAGCCACCGAAGCCAATGGTGTTTGCAGGAGTGTATCCAATGGATCAGTCACAATTCCCCTCTTTGCAAGCAGCTATTGACAAGCTTGCTCTAAATGACAGTGCTGTAAATGCCGTTTTAGAGTCAAGGTAAAAATTATACCATTTGTAAGATTAAAATGGAAGGGCTCGTTGCACTGAGCTAATCCGCATTTTATATTTTGTGAAAACGGAGAAGATGAACTCTAAAGTTTATCACTTTAATTTTAGAGTTTATTTTCTTCATTGTTACAAAATATAAGTTAGTCCTGTTGATAAAACGTGACAAAAAAATTACAGCGCTGCGCTTGGAAGGGGATGGCGAATCGGCTTTCTAGGCTTATTACATATGGAGGTCTTTATTCAACGTCTTGAACAGGAATACGGGGCACAACCGATAGTTACGGCACCGTCAGTGACTTACAGAGCGAAGATTTTCGGCAGTAAAAACATAACGAAATATCAAGGCGACACAGTGATTTTTAATAATCCAGTGCATTTTCCAGACCCCCAAATTGTCACCGAATTTTACGAGCCTATGATTCTAGCGACTGTCATTACGCCAGGTATTTACGATTTAACATCACTTTAATTCATTCGGAACTGAATTTAAGAATACAGAATGAAGAAAACAAATTAAATACATTGAATACTTTGATCAGAGATGAGAGAGAAAGAGAGAGACACGATAATATTTCCATTTTATTTTTATTTTTATTGAATACTTTTAGATTAATGCTTTATAAAATGTATAGATATATACATGAGAGAAATTATATCACTTTGCTGGGAGAAGCGAGGATTAGAAAAACTGACCAAGCCTATTGGCAAGGACAGATTCATGCTGCAATATGTGATGCCACTGAATGAAGTAATTCTCGATTTTCACGATTCCTTGAAGAGCATAAGTTCTGGTTACGCCAGTTTTGATTACGAAGATTGTGACTATCAAGTGTCCGACGTAGTAAAGGTAATTATTTTATAGATGTGTATAACTATTGACAAATTATTCTTGCGCAAGGTTGAATTTTTAACTGAAGTATTTCTTTGATATACAAATTTTAGATAAATATTTTGTTAAATGGACTTGTGGTAGAAGAATTAGGCACAATTGTACATAGAACGAAAGCATCTCAGATAGGTAAGAAGCTATGTGTCAAGCTTCTCGAAACCATTCCACGACAGCTTTTCGAAATAGCGATTCAAGCAGCAGTAGGAAATAAAGTGATCGCGAGGGAAACTTTGAAGCCCTACAGAAAGGATGTGACAGCAAAATTAGTAAGTAAATGTACACTTTACATCTTAAAATAAGAACAGATTTTTAATTCAAGACTTACTTTACTAAATTTTGCATCTGTTTTTCTTTTTCTTTTGTAGTACGGTGGTGATGTTACTAGAAGAAAAAAATTGTTGGCGCAGCAAGCGGAAGGAAAGAAGAAAATGAAGATGATAGGAAAGATTTCCTTACCACGGGACACTTTCATAAGCGTATTAAAAAGATAGCAGCAATTTTATATTTAATGTAATATCCTATTACAAAATAATAACATTTATAAAAATATTCAATGTGAAACTTATTTATTAATTTATATAATCTATCTTTTTTCTAAAAGCACGTTTTTAATACCATTGTAAAACCTCGAAATTATTAGGAATATATCTTATCGAAAGATAACACAAGAAATTTCAATTCAAATTTTTCAACAGAAAGCAAGGTAACTTTTTTCGGTAACTTTTTCCCTGTGACGTAGAAACATGAAAAGTGAAAAATTTCTCAATTGTATTTTTTTCTAATATTGACGTTTTTACACTGCAATGTGTAGGCATTTTATAAAATGCATGTTTAAAACAATAATAATAATATATAATACCACCCACCACTACCCACCACCATCATTCACCACCACACCACCAGGTCGATTTTTTACATTTTTCGATTTCTGCAATAAAAATTTTTCCGAGAAATTTCTCGGGTCAAAATCGATATATGACTATGTAGGAGTTGACCTAAATCGATTTTTTATATTTTTCGATTTCTGCAATAAAAATTTTTCCGAAAAATTTCTTGGGTCAAAATCGAAGAATGACCATGTAGGCAGTAGGAGTTGACCTAGGTCGATTTTTTATATTTTTTTAAATAAAATCACGATTTTTTAAAAATAGCCACATAATTCATCTTTAAGATGAGCCTAGAAAGAAGTGTATATTTTTATTTTTCTGGAAGATGTAAATTTTTAAACATTGGGAAAAGAGGCTTCAACGCAGGTAACACGGCAATTTTAAGATAGGATATTATTATACTTTAACCGCGTGTAAATTGTGACAGAGTTATAAAAATTTTTATAAAATTATTAATTAGTTGTATATGTATGTATATATATATATATATATATATATATACAATACATTTAAGATAAAGAGCAATTATTATTTAAAATTCGAAGCACTGATTAATTATTTTCCAATTACAAGCAATTAAAATTAAAAGAACACTTTCAAAGATACTAATAAGTATAATAATTAAGATTTTTCTTTTTGTCTAAATTTTTTTAACAGAATTGCACTGTATATCGCATGGGATTAAATTTAATTGCTTTTCAATTACGAGATTTAACGAGGGATTTAGAAAAAAAAAAGAAAGATGATTACGTTTAATTGGTTGTTCTTTTTTCCATGTGCTGCAAAAACAATTTGCGATTGCGACACAACAAAAATTAATCAACAAAACGTGGTGCCAAGAGTGCGGTTTGTTAATTAACGACAATTTCTAGTTACAAGATAATTTCAATTACGTTTAATACGCGGTGTAACAAGTCGCATGATTACACCATTGAAGCGGCTCCTTCTACTTCTTCTGCGACGAGAATTAAGTAAACATAGCGTAGGCGATTTTAAAGTGCCCGTTCGTCACACTCTTCGGCGGAAACGCGTTTGTTACGAAGAGCGAATACATGATAAGAAATACGACTGAAACGAAGGATTGTTAAATATTGTGCAGTGTAGAACAAGTAATTTAAAATGAATTGATAGAAATTCAGTTTTTTCAAGCTACAAATAATCTTAGAAAAATAATACAAATGAGTTTAATTTATAGTTTTCTTTATCTAAGGAATTAAATAGAAGTTCTTTTAATTAATCCCAGTTTTTTAAATTAATCTATGCATGATCGTCGAAATACAAGTTTGATCTGTAATTAAATTTATAATTAGTCTTTGTCTATAAAATTGATAAAAACACAGTTTTCTCTAGCTACAAATAATCTTTAAAAAATAAGTTTAATTTATAGTTAAAGAATTCTTTTTTACTTTTATTTAAGAAATTAATAGAAATCAAAGTTTACTTTTCAAAGATACAAATAATCTTCGAAATATAAATTTAATTTATTATTTATACATTTAATTATGGTTCAAAAATACTAGTTTGCTTTTTATTTCATTTCTTTTATAATTTCGAGAAACAATCACATTGAATCAAGAAAAAAATTTGTATTCTTAAATCAGAGATATATTAGAATAAATATAGTCTCCTTCTATTTTTGGTGTTTGCTAACTTCATTGAAAACTTTCTTCTATAGTTTCGAAAATAAAACGTTCGATGTACCATACATATATGTTTTTTGACGTTTTCACTTTACTTCTCGCAGATTACTTAAATCGTGGTGGTACAAATGAGCTACGCTGTCCCTTTAGAGAACAAAATTTTATTCGACAAAATCATCCTTACATGCGTAACACGCTACGTCGCGCTGCGGGTCAACGCTATATCGGGATCATACTCCAAAGCCGCGGCTGTAACAGTCTTCGACAGGATGCGACACGTAGCGGGGAAAGATGGAGAACGCACGCGTTCAAGATCAATTTTGCACCTCTCGAGTTTCGAAATAATCCTTAAATTTTTTTTTGTTCGGCAACCTACAGTCGAGTAGTTTGGGTAGAAGTATTCTGCAAAGAAGACATACACAGGTGAAATGCACCGACGTCGAGACTTCGCGCGCGACTCCATCCATCGACCGATCACTTCTCTCTCCACTTCTTCCGAGACACATATCGTCTCGCCATTTACTGGCGCAAATCTTCATCTCTTCGTTAATAAACGTAGATCTATAAACACAACTGTGACTAACTAATATATTTCTTATTTTATTGCATAATGCCCTAAAAACTCAATCATGGCTGGTTGTCTTCGGTGGACGAACGGAATCATTATTATCTCGGTACCGCGCTGTCAATACGGTACCGACGAATAATGACCGTCTCGCCCACGTAAATCCAGGTGTAACA